CGACATTGGACCCAACCAGGTTGCTTGAGTGAATGTATGGGGTGGCGAGACACAAAGGAGGCTGATTGGAGTAAGCGAGAGGGAGTAGAGAGTGAGAGGTACTTGCACCTGGATTCTGGACTTCAGGAAGACATTGAGTGACTTTTGGGCTTCCCCTCAAGAGGGAGACTTGATCAGAGGCTGCCATATCTGCATCGGATTGCTGCAAGTTGCTACTTTGGTCTTCAGGCATCGATGGGGGATCCGGCTTTGCAATAAGGGTGTAGGAAGGCCCTCTTAGTCATGCTAGGACACTTCGTGTAGTGGTAGCTAGGGGTCAGGAGGACTTATATAAGAGGGGAGTGACTCATTATCCATCTTTGGAGGTCGGGCCTCACAGGTAAGTGCCGTGTGACCGGGGAAAGCCCGTGGGAGGTTGCTTGGTGCTTCATGGCCTGTTGGGGGTGTGCTGGGTTCTCTTCCTCTTCTCTGCGGTCTTGGTTGTGTGTGTGAGCTTGTGGATTGCTTTCTCACCTGATGGATGGATGGATGATGTATCTACTCTAAATGACATATCTTTCTACGGTGCACTGTCTTTTCTTTTCTGAACGGCTGTAGAAGTGAGTTCTTGCTGAAAGTTGTCTTTTCCTTTTCAGCACGGTAGAGGCAGTTTGGGACCGACTTGGTACCCCTATCACGTTGGTCCTGGTCCGCGGCCTACTTGGGACCACTCGGGACCCAGTGGGACCAGGCCCAACGGGACAGGACCTTTTGGGCCCAATCTGTTGCCGTCAGTGCATTCTTTGATGTGCTGCATCTGGGGGGACACACGGAGAGCAAGGACATTCCTTTCAAGGGGATCTTGACTAGCCTTACCGCAGGTTAGCACATCCCGCCTCGCGTCTGATTCGGCGACCATCTGCACCCCTCGAAGTCTCCATTGCTGCAGATTAGTCTTCTTCGTCTGATTTATTGTGTTGACATGTCCTCTGTCAGGTTAGACAAGAGGGGATCTCCAGCTGATCTGATCGGGCCCGTTCTATAAATCAATCCTCTCTGCTGTTTTGTTTTATTTATTTTTATTTATTCTTCTGCTGTGTGTCACGTTCTCAGTCCAAATGATTCGCCGCTCCGGCCAGGAGTTCTACCTTCTTCTTTGAGTAGTTTCCTGTTTGTTTCTTCTATCTGAATTATCTATGTCCGGTATCGAGACGCGTGCGCAAACAGCGAAAAGAGAGGAAAGGGAGAGAGAAGGTGTGCTGTTTGAGAGTGTGAGAAGGGGCAAGAGGAGTGTTCGTCCAAACGTCAGGAGAGAGCGGACCCCTCTTGAGAGTTCTACTGACACCCCTTCCTCCGGCATGGCGAACATCACATCTGCCCAATGGCAGGCCATGCTGGATACAGCGGACGAGAGCCAAAAACCATTCTTTCAAAAACTGTATGATGATGCCGTGCAAAGAGAAAGGGAGGCAGCGGCAGCAGCTAGAGCCGCCGACATTGCTGATCAGGTGGCTCTCCTCCGGATCCCGGAAGCTAATGCTGACCGGTTCCGGGAGGAACTAGCTGCTGCTGTAGTAGCCTTGGTCCGACTGCGGACCTTGGAAGACTTTGAGTCTCGTATGACAGCACTTGAGCAGCGGAACGAAGAGCTGCAGGCTAAGGTGATTAGCCTTGAACAGTCCCAGCTGTCTGCCTCCCGCCCTCCTAACCCTCGATCTACTGTAATCCCAGTCTCTCAGCCCAACACAACCCTCGTTCCAAGGGCCAGCGGAACTGCGATAAGTGCAGGAACCGGAACAAGCTCCTCAAGCGGCAGCACCCGTAGTTCTGCACTGATCGCAGTCCCAAATGCAGGGACTTCAGCGCAAAACGCCACAGTTCTTATTGGCGTTCAGTACAGCGATCCCATGGTGGACAAGCGGGCGGCCATGCTGCCGTCCAAGTACGACAGGAAGGCTGACATCAACTCTTGGATTAGTTCCATGCGGTCATACTTCGAGGTCATGCGGACACCGCAAGAGGACCGAAGTATGATCATGGGAACTAATACCGAGCCTGCTATACGAAACCACATTGAGCTCCAAGCTGTTGCTGCAGGCTATGCACGCATATACGTGACGGATTGGTTGAAGATCACCCATGTTCGCACCCTTGAGGATCTTCTCCTTGACCGGTATCAGGATAAAGATGCTGCGCTCAAGGCTAGACTGAAGCTTGAGGCCCTCAAGGGCCAAACATGGAGGTCATCCATGCAGGCTTTGGAACAGCACCTGACTGGTCTATTCACCACTCCGGATCTAGGAATGACTGACGTGTCTTGCATGGATGTAGTCATGGGAGTGGCCCCTAAAGAATACCTCTCCCTGCTAGCACTCAAGGACCATGCTACCTGGCGAGAGCTCATGAAGGACCTAGTCGACCTAGAGGCCAAGGACCTCGCCAGGCGCAAGAAGGCGCCCGCTGCAGGTGGAAAACCACAAAGCAAGCGGTTTGGAGGCAGCAACCAGCTTGCACTGCATGATCATCGGGAGGCTGACGATCAGTCCTATGCGGATGATCTGCCTCTAGATGACGATCTAGAGTCGGACTCCGATACGGGCTGTTCCACATCAGCCATTGAGTGTGACCGAAATGATGATGAAAAACTTAATGCATTTAGAAAAACTGCTTCAAATAAGGGGCCTAACCGTGGTTCGGGTAAGGGAACTGTCTTACACCTTCCCAAAAATGCTAAGATCCCTGAGAAACTGGAGGACGCTTCTACCAAGCCTTGGGAAGCCCTCTGCATCTGCAAAAAAGAATGGGAAAGAAGGTCCAAACTGCGCGTATGCTTACATTGTTCAAAGCCTGGGCATGCTGTGCAGGATTGCTATCGTCTTCAGGGAAACAGGCAAGGGGCGTAGAGGAGACATCAGCACTCTCTACAACAAGAGAAGYTGAGCAGTCAGTTGCAGGCCCCTCCGAGGAGCCTGGATCTGATCAGCAGCGTGCTCTTGAAGCCCAAACTAACGCTGATTCCAAGGCTGAGACAGTCCAAGTGTTATACACTGAGCCTTGGGAGGAGTCTAAAGAGGTCGACCTCCACGCCCACATGGAGCATTGGCTGCAGCTCAAGCAGCAACGCCGTGTCCAAGGGAGCGTGGAGCTGACTTTCTTTAAACTGCTCATTAAACGCCGATACATCCGCGTGCTGATTGACAGTGGTTCGACCACTAACTTCTTCTCTCCGAACGGGATTCGTAAGGCGGGTCTGGGTATGAAGCAAGTGGAACTGCAGAACCCTTGCCGACTCGGGTGGGCAACCAAGAGGTTGTCACTTCCAATCATGCTGTCAAAGGTGTGCGCATCACCTTTGACAAAGACCGCACTGTCACACACGAGCTGAATTTCTATGTCTTGGACCTGTCTCTTATACACATCTAGATGTGTATAAGAGACAGACGAGCGTACCGTCTTACTAGATGAGACGCGCGAGTCCCCTGCGACTCTTCTAAGTGCTAACAAATTCTGCAGGTCAGTGCGCAGGCGCAAGGAAGCTGGGTTTGTACATATAGCTCTTGTAAAGCCTTTCCATGTGCCTTCTACTTTTGCTGCATTTTCTACCTCTGAAGGTAACTCTACCTCTACTACTTCTACTTCTGTTCCACCTACTTCTGCTGTAAATGATCGATCTAGTGCGGAACCAAATATTTCGAAACCGGTTGTAATTGCTGTAAATTCCCAATCTGATTTTCTCTCCCCTGATGAGGATGATCCTCCACCAGAAATCCCAGCGAACATTCGCCATCTGTTAGATCGATTTCCTGAGGTATTGGCTGAACCCCGCGGAGTTCCCGAGCGTCCAGTCAAGCACAAAATCGAGATAATAGAGGGAAGTGTTCCTCCAAAGGGCTGCGTCTACTGTATGGGACAAGGCGGGTTGGAGGAGCTGCGGAGACAAATTGATGACATGATTGATCGTGGATGGATTAGGCCTAGCGAGTCTGAGTTCGGCGCACCTGTTTTGCTTGTGCTAAAGAAAGGAGGCAAACTCCGGATGTGCATTGATTATCGTGGTTTGAACCGAATTACAAGGAAGAATGCCTACCCTTTGCCTCGTATAGATGATCTGTTGGATGCGGCCGGTGGATGCAAAGTCTTCTCCAAGATCGACCTCAAGTCTGGCTACTACCAGATTGAAGTTGGTCCGAGCGACCAGCACAAAACTGCGTTCAAGACACGTGATGGGCTGTACGAATTCATCGTTATGCCCTTCGGCCTTACGAACACATTAGTCACATTTCAGTCCCTCATGGACAAGGTACTCCGCCACCAACTTAACAGGTTTGTGGTTGTGTATCTTGATGACATTCTGATTTTCAGCAAGTCCATGGAGGAGCACGTCAAGCATCTCGAGGAGGTCTTGCAAGTCCTCAAAGATGCTCAATTGCACCTCAACTTGGAGAAATCTGAGTTTGGCAGGGACAGCGTCATCTACCTTGGGCACCGGTTGTATGCAAGCGGTCTTGAGCCGGAGGCAACCAAGGTTGAGGTYATCCGCAAYTGGCCTCARYCGGCGAATGTACGCGAGCTGCGTTCTTTTCTTGGTTTGGCTTCTTACTACCGGAAGTTTGTGCCTAAGTTCTCTGTCATTGCTCACCCACTCTCACGCCTGACTAGTAAGAATGTTGCCTATGCGTAATAAATATATATATATATATATATATATATTATATTTATATATATTTTTATTATTTGTATTATAAATATATATATAAATATAATATATATATATTTATTATTTGTATTATATTTGTGGTGTGAAAAGTGTGAGACTGCGTTCCAAGCCTTGAAAGAGGCTTTGGTGAGTCATCCTGTGCTCCGCATTGCGGATCCCAACCTCACGTTCGTAGTCACTACGGACGCGAGCCAGTTTGGGATTGGTGCAGTGCTGCAACAAGACGATGGCGATGGCCTGCGTCCGCTTCAATATTACAGCAAACGCATGCCCAGCCACAAGGTGGCCACTTCCACATACATGCGGGAGCTCTACGCCGTGCGCGAGGCGCTCACGCATTGGAAGCACTACCTCTTGGGTCGCCACTTCAAGGTCTATTCAGATCATCAGACCTCGCAATGGATTGAGACACAAACTGACCTCTCTCCAACTCTGATCCGCTGGCTGCATGACATTGATGTTTTCAACTTTGAACTAAAACATAAGAAAGGCTGCTATAATCGTGTTGCTGATGCTCTGTCGCGCCATCCCGAGTATTTGACTTGCCTTGTGGACTCGTACGACCTCCAGAGGAAACTGAAGGAGGATCTGGTCGAGCACACTGCCAAGGATCCGGACCTCAGTCCCATCCTTGAGCAGCTCAAGGCTGACCCTAACAGTCAGCCTGATTTTCATGAATGCAAGGTTCTTGTATTCCGCCGGTATGGAAAGTTTGACCGTTTGTGTGTACCCAACCATGCGCCTCTCCGAACTCATTTCTTGGATTTGGCACATGGTCGGAGTGGACATTTCGGCTTTGAGAAGACTTATGGAAGTCTTTTGCAGCAATTTGATTGGCCAGGCATGAAAGGATCTGCTCAGAAATTCATTGCTGAATGTCAAGTATGTCAAAGAATCAAGGTCCACAGGCATAAGCCTTATGGCCTACTAAGACCTCTCCCCATTCCTGATGGACCCGGTGAATCGATTTCCATCGACTTCACGGACATGGGAAAGGTGAGTGAGGCTGGGAATTCACAAGTCATGGTCATTGTGGAYCGCTTCTCCAAATTTYTGAACTTGATTCCTCTCCCTCCTCACGCCCCGACTGAACTTGTCATAGAAGAATTCCATCAGCAGTACATTTTGCAGTCCGGCGTCCCGAAAACTATTGTGAGTGATCGGGACACCAGATTCATCAACAAAGATTGGAAAGACTTCACATCTCAGATCTACGACATCAAACTGAACAGGACTTCTGGTCGACACCCCGAAGCCAATGGATTGGCTGAGGAGATCAACCAGACTGTCATCCAATTGCTTCGCGCACTAATTGTTCCAGATCAGAACACGTGGGACAAGGAATTGCACAAAATGAAGGGGTTGTACAACAACTCCATTCACTCTGCGACTGGTGTGACACCAAACCAATTGCAGTATGGATGGCCGATGCGTAATCCCCTCTCCTATCTGTTCCCTGAACGGTCACCTGGTCTGATGCCCRGCATGCCWKGCTACAATGCCAAGTACGCACGCTTGCTCAAAGCTGCTACAGCAGCTATGAACAAGCGCCAACATGCCATGATCAAACATGCCAATAAGCGGCGCAAAGAAGAAAAGTTCAAAGTAGGGGATTATGTTTGGCTCAAAATGTCTGAGTTTTCTGATGAAGAGGGCATATCACGGAAGCTTCTTCCACTGTACTACGGCCCTTGGCAGATTCTGAAGGTAGTCGGGGATGATTTCGGTCCTTCGTATGTGATTGATGTGCCTCCTCATCTGCGCACGTATCCAGTCTTCCATGCCTCCAAACTGTTCCCACACATTGATGATTCCCTTCCGTGATCCTATGATACCTCGCCCTATTGACGGCGGCCATGAGATTGACAGAATCGTTTCTCACGAGGGGAGAGGAAGGAACAGACAGTACAAAGTTCATTTCCTCTACCACCCGTTGA